TACATCTCGATGATTTTAGTACAGAGGAAGGTGGAGAGGTAGGGGATCTTCTGAAAACGTGTCACTACACCCTTTTTTAACTTCACAATTTTATTAGCCTGTGGAACTGCAAAGATCTAATAGATTATAATTATTTGATAGCATTCTGGTAGCTTAAATAGCCTACCAATGCACTTATCTGTTTGATCTGAAACTAGCCTCAAATCAGCTAAAAAAAGGGTTTAACAGTCAACGCAATCGACTCACTGTTGCTTGTTGAGTCAGAAAAAAAACGAGTTCAATTAACGCTACTTAAATTCCAAACCAAATAACTCATCATTACGGGAACAGAATTGCGATTGACCTTGTAATGTTACACTGTCAATTGGATATCCCTGATTTACTGTGTGAGTTTTCTATCGGTCTGGAGGGCACAGACAGCCAGTATTTCTTCACAGTTTATTACACATTGATAATGGCTCCATCGATAATTCCTCTTCTGTTGTAAAACTGAACGATCATTGAGCTACTCTGCATGGTAAGCCTCCAATTATGCCTCAAAGAGCCCTTTCCAGTGAGGTGAAACTCTGATTTCAAAACTTTTCATTGAATACCACCGCGACAACGGTTGACTACTCGTCTTCATTCTGGATCTCGATCGGCTGTGTGAAGGACATCGAGAATGACCGCTGAAATATCACAATGACTGGCACCCTGAATTAACTGCCTGCGAATCTCGTCCAGCATACGGTACGTGAATAAAGCAACCGTATTGTGTTCGACGCTACAGTGTTTGCTTGGCTAAAGGTAAAATTGCTGGTGGCGAAATGACATGCTGCACATGAGTGGCACAAATGTAAGACATCATGAATCTTCGTAATAAGCCACATATCTGTAGTCGGAGGCGCTCGTAGATGTCTAGATCCAAACCCGTCGTGTAGTGAAACAACAGTGATAAACTGTTCTCCGGTAGAAGGCGAGATATGGCATATGATAATTACTGCTGTGAGGAATTAACTATCAGGTGGTCGGATACGCCAAAAATGGATCCACAGGTAGACGTCGCATAGTAGGACACGCCTCTGCCGCTCTCGATTCTGGCATATCAGGATCTGAATTCGATGCAGTTCCTATTATTCAAAAATGATCCAGTTTCTACGGACTACCTCACGTGCTGCGTTGAAAGAATGTGGTATGAATTTTTTACTCAAGGGAAATTGTGTTAAAGCGAAATGTGGTCCTTTAAGCCGACAGCCATGACCTTGTAGAGTTTCATATGGCCTCTTAACGACGGTTCCGCTAGATTAGGCAACGTAGCACTTTTGTCACATAGGTCAGATTCAGTGCTCTCTGTAATGCTAAAGCTTCCGTGATAAGCCAACTTTCATCAAATGGCACGTTCTAAATTCGATTCTTTACGTTTGCTTGACTGTGTCTTCGCGGGACTTTAAAATTCAGTCTTCGAGTAGACTTTGCTTGGTCGAGTGGGACAGTGTAAAAAGTCCAACTGTCTTCCTCTTCTACTTTCACAGTGACGGATGGATGATTTCGCTGTGGAGGCCGACGAGCTCTTAGATAACGAATGGCAAACGATAAAATTAATACACTTAATATGCATTATTCAGGCTTGAGGTAACTTGTGACAATTGTTACATGATGACGCGACAATCGCTAATAGCCAACTCAAGCAGCCATGACAAATGTCGCTGTCACTCGACACATTTGTCGAACCACAGGCGAGAGTGACATTTAGTGTCACGTGTTCAAAATTCACGCACAGACCAAAGGTTTTCTCCAAGATCTGTCTCCCAAACTACTACCTGGCTTACCCCAAGAGATAAGGGATATGCATACCGAGATCTCTCTGCCTGATAACCAAAATAACCATTCATTCCGCAGATCAAGTATCTCCTGCCCCGGGAGACGAACTTCGCTGACCATCATTATTTCGAGTTTGTACCGTCGGGCCGTATGGTACACATCATCTAACATACCGTCGCCTGACAAGGAACGATTATTTCAAAATGGAATACCGAACTTATCTCTTGTTGTACTGATTGCTGAAATGGCGCAAGTTGGTTACTAGTTAATTGGCAAGTTGCGAGAGCGAATCTTTCGTTGGTAGCTTATTTCAGCGATAACAAAAAGTTTGTCGATCACTGAAATATGAACCTGAAAATCGAAAGGTATTGCCTAAAATGTAGCAATACAAGACTATGCCTATTAGCATAATTTGGACAAATGGTTATGACACTTCGGAAGACGGTTAATAGTGAGTCATGAATGGAACAACCGATTTTCTGTACAGTTCTGTTCGAGTGGGTATGCATGAGTATTTTGAGTTTGCCCTCTTTCCTCACGATAGGCATCTGAATTGGGTTGCATTCAATGGGTGACTGTGGATGCAGCAGATATCACAAGCCAGAGACATTCTGTTTATGGAAACAGCTCAAAGTGATGATATAAACAAACAAAAAACACAATGAGTGACCAGCATCAGCCACATTATCTGGCATCTTTTCAGCGACCTGTAACATATGATTGAATCCGTTACCTGTGGTGGCGGAGTTTCGAAGCTCATCCTTCTGACCTGCGATACAGCATCCAATGCCAGACGCCATAAGGAGATACAGGCAAGCTGCACGTGTCGACAAATCGCTGCATTACTTCTGTTCGTTCACCACTGTCTATCAAACGAAGCACAAAATTGAAAGCTTACCCGATCTTCTTGATCATAACAGCCAAAATTGAACAAACAACGTCGTCCAGTAATTTGACCTAACTCACTGTTGGCAGAGTTTCGCCACCGACACGTGAATGACGTGAAGTGTTGAGTTCCAAATATACTGGGTTAAAAATTTGCATTCGATAGCAATAGAAAACTAAATAGCTTGAGGCCAAGATCGGACGCCACATGTTATTAAGTGCATTTGCGTAAGGGTGCATTTTGCCTGGTAAATCTAATGTGAGCGGGAAACCCTCATTAAGTAACTCATTTCTGCGAAAGCAATAAATTTCGCACCTCTGACTAGTAAATCAACCTGATGTGTACCCAGTGCATTTCACCGTCGTTAAAGCGCTGCCGTTAACCATGAAATCCATTAAGAAGACATATCGTTTTTGTTATTCGGCATCGCTCTTCGAAGCAGGGTAGGCGTGAGTAATTGGACCCTATTATCTTAGGGAAGATGCACCATTCAAAACATACATTCAGATATTATGCTGTCTTAGAGCAAACATTATACTGACAATTAAAAAATAGCTCATTCAACAAACAGCGGTAAACATCACACATTGGACCGGGCTTGCCAGCCAGGATATCTCTAATCTTGAAGCATATTTGTGGGATGTTACGCCAACCAATCAAGTAGTGCTCTCATTGCGTGAATGTCACGGCTCTCATGTCTTTGTCCGTTGCTGAAGTTGTCGGTACAGGAAATGATGAATATCGGAATAAAAAGTACTCAGGGATCGTACGACAGGCAGCGGAAAGACGTCAGATTGCCGCAATGGTTAGATTGCGGGGGCATCTTAAAGAGACTGGCAGAACAAACGAATAAAAGAAGCCTTAATAATCCAATCCTGCCAAAAACTGAACCGGAACAAAGGATTTGAAATCTGCTCAGACTGGACATGCCTTATCAAATCTGTTACTGAGAACCACTTGAGTGGCAGCTAGGAGCAGATGTACGCTTTAGGCTCGAAGCATCACAACAGCCGCGAAGCACAGAACCAACTGGCGAAATAAACTCGCAGCGCCCGGAAGAAGGACTCAGACAAATCGACACGTCGGTAGTGGTCAATCACCCGACGGACCTATTTATGATTGGTATGATTATGTTATTACGAGGGAGGGACTACAACTTATAAGACTTCAATCTTACAACACCGCAGTGCCGGTGTAAAGCAAAAAATACATTTTTTACACTGTGCAGCTTCGCCGCATCTTTATTTGCATTAATAAAATCACGAAAATACATTTTTCAGGTGTAAGCATGCTTCAGAGATATAATATTTCGCTCGTGTGTTGTCATACCGAAGAAACAGCATGAAATATGATGTGATACACAACGGCAAAGATAACATGAATAGTACCAATAGGTATTGATCAGCTACGGATTGTCCATATTATCCGTTGCCTTGGTATTACTAAACCGCATTTTGTAAATATGTTTAGTATAACTAAAGGTCATGAACAAATAGCAAGAAAAAGAATGATACGAAAACGGGCAAATTAAATTAATTAATTTTGCTGGGTTAAATATCACAATGCAACACAGTTAGAGACAGAACCGGTTTTAACTTTACAGCCGTCCTCTTCAACTGATTTGCGATAAAAGGTTGTGCTGACTTACGAGCAGAAAAGAATAGGTGTCACGGACAGCCTAACGTGCGACTGTCAGTCTTGATAAGAGTAAAATTTTTTTTTATTACAACGTAGGTTCTGTGGCTGACCTGCCCGCCAATTGCCTTCAATGGATGTATTGGTCATCACGATCGTCATTCATGCAAGGATGTGCCTGCTCAGTCACCGAATGGCTTTGAGAATTTTATGTCAAGCTTTTCGCACAACAGGCAGAAAAAAATTATTAGTCAATAAATAATCATAAAACCTCCATTTTTCACAACGGTACAAAATCAACGAACACTGACTGCGCGTTACCTACGTGTGTGCGTAAGTGATTTCTACAAAGTCTGTACACCGCACGCTATGGCAAATATAGCGAAAGTTAATCAGAAACGACTAGAGTACACCAGAACTTATGAACGATGTGTTGAACATAATAAATAGAATAAAACGAGAAGACAAATTGCACTGCAATCCAACTGTGATGCTTCAGAACAGCAAAGTATGATGAAAGTACGACAGACGTCGGTTGACAACCGAGAGTGCTATTTAATAAGCGTCAGTTAGCTAAGTCCGTAAACCGAGTGCAGAACTTTCCGACTGGCTGACTGACTGGAAAGCGTCAGCCGTTCGAAGCAAGTGTCCACATCCGAGCAACAGGAATATGAGTTTTCTAAAGCACCCCTTCCATGAACGACGTGTCAAGATTTTCCATCAGAGTTCGCAGGAAAGTCATTTCTTTGCGGGTGTTCTCAAAGATCACGGATGGATCGTCTGACTGGCACCTTAAACAGTTCGGGGCCATTACCATCGCCAAATTGCTCGAGTCCATTTTGGTATACTGCACGTTTTCACATCGAACAATAATCTGAAGAAACAAGTTCAAACTTTCGACAAATAACGGGAAGAGACCAGTTACCTGTAAAAAGCGTATTAAGTAAGAAAAAACTAATCGATTCAGAGGCGGCAGTCGGTCGACCATTTCACAGGCGCGCTTTGCGTCCTCGGCCGAATCGACGCACTCTTGGTACAAATGGTCCGGCACCAGAGGCTCAGCCAGCTCGCGATACCAGCACTTTAAGAGACTGGCCGGAATGTGGGGGTCATTGAGCGGGGGTAACAGCCAGCGATCGATACGAATCTTGAGCGCATTCACCTCGTCGATGTCGCCCGGCACTCGAAATATGCCCTCGGTTTGGGCGCCGTTCAGCTTCAGCACAAGTTCTGACAGCGCGGTCTGAATCCAGGGTAACTTGCGCTTAGGAAAGCGCTCCCGCTGGATCACCATGATCTCTTCCAGGGTATTGCCGAACATCGACGGATGAAAAATCTGCAAACGAGCCTGTTCCACCTCTTCGATACTCGGTTTGCGGAGGCCGCGCTTCGCACCGTTCTTCATCACTCGTTCGAGACGCTTGGAGCAGTACTGCGCGTAGTGACTCAGAGGTACCTCAGGCAGGTTCAGCACCGGATCGGCGTAGCGAGCGATGTAGCTGTCCAAGTACGACGCAAACTGCATGGACGGCGGAAAGAAAGAGAGACAAATGCACAGCAGCTCCCATCCGCGACGTAGGCTTTCTCTGAAACCCACCGACGGATTCATTCACTTTGTGAAAACACGAAAACAGTAACAACTCACGATCCGGGATTCTCTGTCGTTTGCTTGCACAACTGAATGTAGATCTCATCCCGGAACGCCGGCTTTGACCAACCACGAACGCAAATGTCCAGAGCCAGTTGAGCCGGGGTCACTCCAGATTTGCGCACCTT